GTAGGGAAAAAGCCTTTCTAGGATAAAAAAGGGCAGAACAGAAAATAGAAAGTTTCATAAGGTGTGAGTGGATGAGAATGTAAATTTATCTCTCAATGAGTTGAGATTACAGGGTGATGGTGGCTGGAGTTGAAGTGGCATGATCTTGCTGAGTTTGTAAGGCCTAATGTCCAAGTCAGATGCCTCAGAACTGCAGAGCTTAATTGTTGCAACTTTGACCCTTATCATGCTTTTAATATCACTGGATATGCTTCATTGTGAAGAGTGACTGAGCACTGGCAGAAGTTGATCAGAGAGGTTGTGGAGTCTCCATTTTGGAGATATTCAAAAGCCATCTGGACAGAGACCTGGGCAACTGCCCCTAGGTGGCCCTGCTTGAGCAGTGTGGTTGGCCAAGGTGACTTCCAGAGGTGCATTCCAACCTCAACCATTCTGTGATTGCCAACATACACTTCCCATGGTGGCAGAAATTGTAGAGAAAACACAAAATAGCAAGTGTTGCAATGAATTGTTGCCAGGAGCATTTCAGCAGCCTTGTCCCTAGAGGAAATGTACTTAGCTTCCAGCACCACTGCATTTGTCTTTAAGACTAAGAGAAGGTGAATGGAATTCCAATAAAAATAAAACAGAAATCCAAAACAAGTAGCCAGTCATTTTAAGAGACCGATTTCCTTTTGCTACAAGTGCTTTACAGAAAAGCCTCTAACAAATGCCTTTAACCAAATAATTTGATGATTGCCAGCTAGTTAGTGACTGAAAAATTTCAGAGGATTCCTTTCTCGCATTTTTCCTTCACTTGATCACTGTTTGTGTTCAGACATGATTTAAAATAGGTCATGTGCTGATCTTACTAGTTCTTTAGGCTTGTATTTTACAACCATGGTACATGTGTTTGAAATATGGTTTGTTTCTGCAGCTGGGTGCCAGCAAACCATCGTGTTAAATGCAGCTCTTTGTCTTCTCTAATGTTTTCACTGTTCTGTGCTTTTGCTGCAACTTTGTTGTTTATTGACTTTTTTTTTAGTGGTGTCTTTTGTTATTTTCCATGTCTAATTTTGATTAATCCAATATAGAAATGCATTCGTCATCATCAAACACTGCATTTTACTTGAACATCTTTAAAAAAAACCCAAAACAACACTAATGAATGTAAAACTTCTGTGGTATCAATGATCACTTCTGGTATTAGTATTATCTCTTATGCAGTACATACATTGTGTTTAACAGCTGATTCATACAGATTAAAAACTTATGTGCTATTATGAAACTTCAGCAGCAATAACTGTACTTTTCAGAGATACATAAACTGTAGGTTGGTGCCATTTCGGCTTTGTTTGAAGCATCTTGCAATACATTAACTTATGTCATTTCTCTCTTCATTGTTTCAAAACTATGAAGCCTGTAATTAGACTCAGAAAACTAAAAGCTTTCTGATTTAAAGGAAAAAAAAAAAAAGTTTTCCGTATGTATATTCTTTCATAATTACCTTATGAAATATTTTACTGGGTCAGATCAAAGGATCACCTAGTCTGCCGTCAAGTCCCAGAGTGAACAAAAGCAGAAATTTAGGAACGGCGTAAGAGCAGGGCAAGGCAGCCATGGTAATTCCCTTGAATACTCTTCTGTTGCCTCACCATTTCCAGACAGGGATCATCCTGAGCAACAATGATGTTCTTAATGGGTTTTTAATCCATCATCTATTCTTGTTGGTTTTCTAAATCCATGTAAAGTTTCTGTTGGCCACAGATCCTATGGAAGTGTATTCCACAGTTTGACAAAGTACTATGTAAAGAACCACTTCCTGCTATCTACTAGTTTATCCCTACAGATTGTGTGGGAAAGGCAGAGAAAAGTCATTAAGTCATTCCTCAGTTTCCCCCTCCCCTTTGATAAAGCCAAAGGTATCCCAGAAAGCCAACTGTATCCTGGGCTGCATAGAAGGAAGCTGCATAGAAAGAAGCAGGTCAAGGGAGGCGATTCTGCCCCTCTACTCCACTCTGGTGAGACCCCACCTGGAGTGCTGCATCCAGCTCTGGAGTCAGCACAGGAAAGACGTGGACCTGTTGAAGCGGGTCCAGAGGAGGGCCACAGAAATGATCAGAGGGATGGAACACCTCTCCTGTGAGGAGAGAGTTGGGGTTATTCAGCCTGGAGAAGAGAAGGCTCTGAGGAGACCTTACTGCAGCCTTCCAATACTTAAAGGAGCCTTGTAAGAAAGATGGGGCAGACTTTTTAGCAGGGCCTGTAGCGATAGGACAACAGGTAATGGTTTTAAACTAAAAGGGCATAGATTCAGACTAGATACAAGGAGGAAATTTCTTACAATGAGGGTGGTGAAACACTGGAATAGGTTGCCCAGAGAGCTGGCACATGCCCCATCCCTGGAAATATTCAGGGTCAGGTTGGGCAGGGCTCTTAGCAACCTGATCTGGTTGAAGATGTCCCTGCTCACTGCAGGGGGTTGGGCTAGGTGACCTCTAAAGGTCCCTTCCAACCCAAACCATTCTATGATTCTATATCCATGGCCCTCTGTTGTATTCCTTATCAGTTCTCTCTTCTGGGCTGAAGAGTCCTAATCTAGGTTGGTTTTCCTTCCAAAGAAGGCACTCCATACTTCTGATCCTTTCACTTTTTTCTGCAGTTTTTCCAGTTCTGCTCTGTATTTTATGAGGTGGAGGGATGGGGAAGGCAGAACTGCATGTGGTATTCAAGATGCAGGCATGTTACTGATATCTACAGTGCGTAATGATGTGTTCTGTTCTCTTTTTCTAACAACTCGTAACATTTCATTTGTGGGTGGGGAGTGTTAGGGTGTTTTTATTTTGTTTGGGGTTTTTTTTGCCAAGACTGGCCACTGGGTTTATAGTTTCAGGGATGCTCAGTGTGACCTGCAAGGTCTTGCCCCATCACCATACATGTAGAAAAGAGGGGTTTTTTTCCCTCTGGCGTATGTTCCTTTACACGTACAGGAAATTTCATCTGCCATTTTATCCACCACTCAGCAGCCATCACATCTTATAGAATCATAGAATCATAGAATGTTTAGGGTTGGAAGGGACCACTAGTGGTCATCTAGTCCAACCCCCCTGCAGTGAGCAGGGACACTGCTAACTAGATCAGATTGCTCAGAGCCCCATCCAACCTGGCCTTGAATGTTTCCAGGGATGGGGCCTCCACTACCTCTCTGGGCAACCTGTTCCAGTGTTTTACCACCCTCATTGTAAAAAATTTCTTCCTTACCTCTAGCCTGAACCTACCCTGTTCTAGTTTAAAACTGGTGTGAATTTAAAATCTCTAAGTGACTTAGGTGGTTTTGTTTTACTTTAATGGTCTGAAATATGTTGCAGTATGGATAAGTAGATTTTGTTCATTTTCTTAAATCTGAAGTTATGCTGGGTTACTCTCTTCCATTGCCTGTCCCCACACTTTACAGCTGTTTTTTATGTTTGGGGTTTTTTTTCTACTTGTATTTTAATATGGTTTATATAGTACGGTTTTTTATTACAGTTTATTTTTTTTGTGATGCCTATCTTATGTTTATTTATCAGGCTTTTATGCAGATATACTTTGCAATATTTTTTATATAACCTTTTTCACTAATAGATCAATCTTTATACAAATGTAAGCTCTTCCACCTGCTTTCTTCTCCCCTTTCCTTGTTGACAAGCTGTTCTTAAAATGTGGAGTATAATTTAGTGTTGCTCCAAATATCTTTGTTTTTTATTTTTTTAATCAGTTTGTTTCATATTTCATTAGCATCTCTCTTTAATTAAAGCCGAACATCTTCTAGTTGATAGATCTAAGACCCACACTTCCCATTTTTTACATTTTTCTGACTTGCTGCTTCATCACCGATCTTAAGTGTACTTGTGAAATTATAAAAGGAAGTCAATATATCCAAAAGCTAATACTTAGACAATAAGTTCAGACTTGGGAAAACTGGAGGCCAGAGCCTGTTTTGAGAGAAACTGCATGAATATTAAGATAAACATAAATTCTTGAACAATGGCTTTAAAATAACTATTGTTTTCTCTCAAATAATTTGTGACTGACATAATTTATGAACAACTGTCTAGCTTGCAGTTACCCTGGATTTTTTTTTACTTTGTGTTAGTCTTCTAGAATTAAAAACTTAAGATTTTGTTTGGTTGTTTCGTTTGCTTTCTTTTTGGCATAGGCTTTTGGGGGGAGCGTATTAAAGCAGGAAGGGAGGGAAGTTGCTAAATTTTCCTTCAAGAAGATCTGTTTTTCTCATAAGATATAATTTCTCTATCTTCCTCCAAAAATTTTGACTCCCTAGAAATGACATTTGCATGTTTTGATCTAAAATTTTTCAAGATACAACAAAGTTTATAAGCAATATTGTCAGTTCAAAAGCGTAACACAGCATATGAAAATCAAGCTCTTTTCTCCTGGCTTATTGTATCTTTATACCAGAATTTAACTTAGAGCTTCTTTACTGAAATTTGAGCCTGTTTTCCCTCTGATGATTCTGTCGGCTCTGCAAAGCTAGTTGTTTCAGAGGTATGAAACTGTTTAGACGTAAGCAAGCAAACATGACCTGTAAATTAAAAAATGCAAGTCTGTTGTATATGGGGATGATGGTTTAGGGTAGTTTATTCTCAGAACACCTACTGCTAATTCTGTGTGTAACCATATGCAATGCATTGTCAGCTACTATATGAAATCAAACAAATACTCGCAAAGGTTTCTCTTTACGTCTCAATTGACTTGTGTTCCAGGTACAGACGGATGTTGGTGTAGATACCAAACACCAAACATTGCAAGGAGTAGCATTCCCCATTGCTAAAGAAGCTATTCAGGCTTTGGAGAAATTGAAAAATAAGAAACTGAATTATGTACAACTGGCAAGTATAAAATACTTTAACTATTCTTTAATAGTAAGTATAAAATAGATTACCTGCACATTAAGCAATGTGCATTGATGACGTACACTGATAAATAACCATTCTGTATTAGATTAATTCAGTATTTTTTTCCATCCTGTCATGTTCTGTGGTTTGCTTTCTGTGTATTAACTATGCTCATGTTTTCTTTGTTAACAGCAAATTGATATGAAAAATGAAACTATTGTTTTGGCCAACACACTTCATACTGAACTTAAGGACTTGCCAAAAAGAATTCCAAAGGATGCTGCGCGTTACCACTTTTTCCTGTACAAGCATGCCCATGAAGGAGACTATTTGGAATCCATAGGTATGAGAAAATTTCCCAATATGAAATTTCATTGGCTTGTTTCAAGTACTTCAGTAATTTTGAGGCAGAGAGAAAGATGTGTCATAAAAGTAATCTGTCAGCATGAGCATAAATTTCAGAGTCATTTGGTTGTGAAACTGACTTGTGAAGAGTCCTTATGGTTAGAAAGTAGCGAGCTATTCCTTTTGATTATGAACACCCATGAATCAGTTGTCATGTGAAAACATAATGATACTGGCCATTCTCTGATCCCCCACTTGAAATGAAACACTTGCTGAAGCAAAAAGGATCCAGAATTGTGTTACATTTTTCCCTTTCAGACTTCATAGTTGATTTGCAATGCCTCTCTGCTGTAAATGATTTTATGATGCAGGTTTTGATGGAGTGTAGTTATGGTCTCATTTGTGGTTTTTTTTCTTGCAGTTTTCATCTACTCTATGCCAGGGTATACCTGTAGTATACGAGAACGAATGCTCTACTCCAGTTGCAAAAGTCCACTGTTAGAAATTGTAGAAGGACAGTTGTGGATGCAGATAATTAGAAAGGTAAGTACACTTGGTATACTGGTATTTTCTCCATCCCTCTGCTCCCTTCTTAGTATTTAGTTGTCTGCCACCACCTTCTGCAAGCAACGAAAAGTGTTGTATAACTATTGAAGTTTGTACTGAACTAGAAATACTTGTTGATGAAGCTTCAGATACAAAGTTAAGTCATGAAAGCTTTTCTCTGGTTCATAATTTCTACACTTTCACAGCTTTAATAAACATATCCTTGTGCATCAAGGGAGTGTTTGAGAGCACTTTGAAGGACTATTCAGAAGTAATGTGATTTCTTACTAAAAAGTCTGTCATATTTTGGACACAACACATTGCTGTTGTCAAACACTAAATTCCTTTAAAGCCAAGGTTATTTAAGGATTCTCAAAGTAATTTCAAGCTCCAGTTCTGGAACTGCTATCTTAGGAGTCCTTGATGGGGCAAACAAGGATTTGCAAGTAAGCTGATCTTTTCACATTGTGTAGATTTTACATAAGGAGTAGGTTGCTTCTCACCTCCAGAGCACAGTCCATAGGAATGGTCTGTCTGTGGAATATGTGACCTACATTCCTAACACTTGTGCTGTAAATTTAGAAGAACTTTGAGGCTTGGTTTCTGTGGGGATTATGTATACCTAAAAAATAGCAGAGTTAACACTAACCATTTTTACTGTGGTGACATGACTTAAGTAGATTATCACTTCATGTTTTTATATGTCATTATTTCTCAGAAATTTCCTTTCTATAATGAAATAAATGCACAGTGTGACTCCTGGAATTCCCGTTGACATATTTCTGAAGCATGTACTTATAACAGCAATACCGTGGTTGGCAAGTCCATCAAGTGCTATAGTTGGCAGGCCATGAAGTGCTGAATGCTCAGCAGAGCAGGGCCAAAGCATTTCTCTGAATTCTAAATTCCTGCAATTCAAAACAGTGGGGTTTGGCTTGAGAACAGTACTTTCTTTCCATTCAGGTTTATATGCGTAAATTTTAAAAACCAAGCCCCCCCCCCCTTTTTTTTGTTCATTAAATTTATTTTAGCTCTTCCCTGGCTTGAATACTTGATTAGTTGCAGTAGCCAGCTAATCATATAAGCTGTTTGTACTCCTCCCCTTCTGTCTCAAGAGACATGTATGCACGTTGCTTTTACAATTACTGTTTAAAGCACGTTCTAGTGAAATACTTTAATTCTTAAAATGTGGTGATTATGTTGGGAAAATGAAAATTTTTTATTTTAGAGAGGAGTATAAAGAAAGGAAATTGTAGTTCTGAAAGATCGCGTGCTGCTTTCTTTTATTAAGGAAGTTACTTTATAGAGGAGTAAATAAGCACTCGTTTCCACATGGAATGTGTACTCCTCGTTAATATTAGAATCATAGAATAGTGTGGGTTGGAAGGGACCTTTAAAGGTCATCTAGTCCAACCCCCCTGCAACAAGCAGGGACATCTTCAACCAGATCAGGTTGCTCAGAGCCCCCTCCAACCTGGCCTTGGTATGTTTCCAGGGTTGGGGCATCTACTGCCTCCCTGGGCAACCCATTCCAGTGTTTCACCACCCTCATTGTAAGAAATTTCCTCCTTGTATCTAGTCTGAATCTACCCTCTTTTAGTTTAAAACCATTACCCCTTGTCTTGTCACAACCGGCCCTGCTAAAAAGTCTGTCCACATGTACAGCTAAAGCCTGGGACAGAGGAAGTTTCTTGGCATATGTACTGTGCAGTTGTGCTTATATTTCAGGAAAAATATTTAAGTCAAATCACACTTAATCCTGGTAAGAGTATGGTGGATTCTCAGAAAAACTATCCAAGATTGCTGAGGGCATTAGGCACAAGTTGGAGAACATTTCATGCTGGACTGAACATTATTGCACATATGGTTCTAATATAGCATTTAGAGCTTCAGCAAAATTTCTAAATGTTTTTAAATATGTCTTTAAGATGACTATGATAAATGTTGGGTTTTTTTCCCAGATCGAAATAGATAATGGTGATGAGCTAACTGCTGACTTTCTCTATGAAGAGGTTCATCCAAAACAACACGCTCACAAACAAAGTTTTGCTAAACCAAGAGGTCCTGCAGGGAAGAGGGGAATACGAAGACTGATTAGAGGTCCAGCAGAGACTGAAACGCCCAGTGATTAGAAACTGTTATTTGTGTTTGTTATAAAATACTACAGTAAGAAATGAAATGCTGGCTTTTGGTAATGAACTGAAATCATTCCATTTGTAGTTGCTAGGGAAAAAAAAAAAAGCTCTTTTTACTCTTCTGACCTCAACACTTTTTTATATTGTTACATGATTATATTTCTGTTCACCATGTTTTATGACATGTGGAAGAGCTAATTATGTTAAAGCTAGAAGAGGAAAACTAAGCTAGTACCCCTTTATTTTAAACTAGAATCCATTATTTAATAGCTGTACATGCAATCATAAACTTTGCAGACGTAAGACTATTAAGCCCACGTATTCTGTGGGTAAGCTGCAGCTGTATGCCTAGATAACAAACCTGTATTCCCACGAAGTAGCCTCTTGAAGCCCCTACTACTTACTCCGTGAGGAGAACTGAAGGACTATATAGCATCGGCCCAGATAAATCTTTATTTTTGCTTGTAGCTCTTATGGACAGTAGTACAACAGGAGGTTTTTTTTCTGGTTTTGACATGATACCTTGTTGGGTTTTGTTGTTGTTTTGTTTTGTTTAATAGAAAAGGTAAACTAAAACCAGTTACCCATCAATTACCGTAAGTGTTCAGGAATAGCTGGATATTTTCCTATGCAAAAGCACAGTGGTCATTTCAAATTTATAACTAATTTTGTGGAATTGTCTGTTAAAGAAATCTGACATAAAACCACTATAGCTTGTCCAGACTTCTATACCACTTGTAAGGCCTACATACTAAGTACTGAATGACCAAGTAAAAGGCGATTAAAAGTGCATGAGTTAGGATACTCGGTAGATTATGGAGCTGCTTTCAAAGCAATATGCTTAAAAGTTACTAATAAATAATGGATTATCTGTACACTTGGATCTAAAACTGTGTAAATTCAGTAAAAATTGAAATGGACTTGCTTCATAATGGTGAGTTACTCTTGAGATTCTAGTGTGTTTGCAGTATCAGCTGCGATTTTAACTTTCAAGGTATTCTGAAAATTACTTTTCCTAAATGTTTGAACTTTAATAGTAACTTAAATCTGTAACAAAATCCAGCTAGGTCTTCTACAACTGCTGGCAGCACCCAGTTAGGATTTTGACCTTTTTTATTTTTTTTTCTTTTTTCCCCCCTCCCCTTCTCCAAAATCCTAAAATCAGCGAGAATAGTCTAAACTTGATTGAACCATGAGTAGTGTGTTTAATAGGAAGAGGAAGAATAGATTAGTAAGTGGATTAAAGAAGAATTAGATATGAAAATCAAGTATTGAATGACCTTAAATATTTAAAATTGTGCAATGAGGCAAATGCTAGTGGATAGATTGTATTCCCCAGTGGGGACTTGCTTTTTAGTGTCTTCCATGTAAGCTTTGCGGTTTTTTTCAATTATTATTTTTTTTAAAGCTACATGGGAGTTGCAAGTCTCACTTCACTGCATATTATCATAGGCGCTGGGTGTACACGTTACGTAGCTGAACCACGTGTTTACCTGGTGGAAGATAAGATTTTAACCTGCTTTGACACTACTAGTTCATGATAAAATTTGTTTGATCTTCTATATTATTTTGTTTGGAGACACTAGCTTGTCATTGACGTCTGAGATTGCACTATATAATTTGAAAATTGCAATAGTTGTTGGGTTTACTGTGTTGTTTTTTTTTTTTTATACACAGTAGAAATTTGAGACCTCTGCTTTTTTCATTTAATCTCATACACTACATCGATGCAATTCGACAGCTCTTGATCCCCAGCTAACCCCCTGCTCGCCCTTCACTACCATGTTCTTCCACTGCCTCTTGCCTTCTCCCTCTAGGGCAAGGAGCTGATCTTTGGGGTGTTTCTTCTATGGTACTACCTGTCGGGCAAGTGTCATCGTATTTTAAACGTGGCTGATGTGTGTGCAGCTCATTGTGCACTGTAATTAAGTGTATTTTTAGTTGAACTCTGAATCTTTTCAGCACACCCAATTCACTTTGGTGTTTGGTTTGGGGTGGTTTTTTCTAAGGAAAACCTTTGAGTGTAGCAGTTAAAAATTACTGCTAGAGGGTTTTGTGTTTGAATTTAGTATTCCTGCCCACCTGTCAGCCATGCCGAGAGCGCACACACATTTCTACACTTATTAGAGCCAGTAAACAAGTTCAGCTTTTTAATACCAAATGTTTCAAATAATGAACAGTTTGACCTGATACAATTACGTGCATGCTGTGTTTTGTTTTTTTTTTTTTTGTCCTAGCTGTCCCAGGTAGATGAGGGTAGGAGGTAGAAAGCTTAATCTTGGAGGATGGTGAGAGCTGGTTAGGTGATTACATGAGGGAGTTTATCACGAGCTGCTTCAGAGTTCGGCCCAAACCAGACATTGTATGTTATCTTACTTGAAAATATTCAGTGGGGGTGTCCAACCCTCTGACCAGCCAGCAGAGAGCCACGGCCTGAGCGGGTTTCCCCCTCACCTTGCCCCTAAGAGAGAACTGTCCGAAGGCTGGCGCTGCCGACTGCTTCTCCGGGCCTCTTGTAGCTCTTCTCCTGACGAAGCAGTAAACAGCACCTGACCTTTTTGTGAGATCTGTCACGTTTACATCAGCGTAGTTGCCTCGCGTAACCCAACTGCTGCTAATGAATGTTCAGAGCCAGCACAAAATGAGGGCATTAACAAACGTTACTCCTTTACTGCCTCTGATCATTTAATAATTGAAAGTGTCCACTCAAAATTGTTGAAAATGCTTCATAAAGCCCAGAAGCAATGCAGCCGCTTGCAGTTAACTCACAAGCTATTTAATAGTCATAAATTAACATGATGGGGAATTATTTTTGAAATGTTTATGTTGCAAGGTAGGGAGAATTTGATGTTTTAAAACACTCCTATCAGAGGGTTGTAAAACTAATCAAGGTAATAATTGCTCTAATACTAGGATAAATACATTGATAAAGGAAACTTTTAATTTACACTATGTATTCAATGAAAACCACCTTCAGATGCTAAAATTAACTAAATTTACCTTATCTATTTTGTAATTTACTTTATAAATAAAGATTGATGCTTTAGTTTGGTGTTGTCTGAATAATTTCATAATCTCTTTTAAAGAAGATCTGTATTCTAACATCATGATGTGTAAATTAACAGGGCTAGAAGGGAGTATAGAAAAAGTGGTTGCAGGGTAAGAAGGGAGGTGGGCAGGAACGGATATTCCTGGCTTTTGCCATCGGAGAAAAAAAACAGTACATTAGAAGCGGCTCCTTTCCTGTTGCCTCACGGCAGCAGCACAGAGGCCCCTGTGGCAGGATCCAAGTGCGTTCATCTCTTGAGGTTTTCATGCCTTCAATAATAAGCCCCTTCAAAAAGTTCTTCTGTGCATTTGAAGTGCTGAAGTCGTTGATTGGTAACTTAACAGTTCTATTGCTTGTTACTTGCTCAGCATGAGGTAGCTAATTAAACTAATCAAATGATGTTGTTCCATTTACTGGTTTTTTTTGTCTAAACTGGAAGTGCTTTGCTTGAAGTCTTCCCAATGCCCTCAAAATTCAAGCTGAAAAGAACATTTAGTGGTTTGGCTTTTCTTTTAACTGTCCTGCCAACACATCCCCATGGGGAAATCGGTGATACGGCAATTTTGCAGATGAAAGAAGGAAATGTGAAGATTTGTTGAACTAGGATTTAAGAGAATAATTTTAACGCAAAATGCTGTACGGGAAGAAATCTGTCCCTCCAAGAGGCCCAGGTGCAAGATAAGAGGAGGGGAGGGGCTAGGCCTCTATCTGACTGTGAACAGTGGAAGCAGTTGTATTTGCCTTTTGGCCAGGGGGTGTTAAATAAAACGCACAGCCAGCCCGCCCGCCCAAACACAAAGCTGAGGCAACGCTTCCTGTTTCAATAACATGAAGTGCTATGGCTGGTAAAAGGTGTGTTGGCTCAAAAGGCAACTGGACAAACTGATCAAAGAAAATTTGATAGAGGCATAGTAGCTAATAAGGACCTCATCCTTTTCCAAGCTCCTTCTCCTTGCACCCTGTATATTTAAAAAAAAAAAATAAAGTTCCCCTGGAAGTGAGCTAGCTTTACCTAATTACAAATCACCTCACGTTTTCATTCCTCACTAGAGTACTACCTAAATGAATTCAAAACTTTTTTTTTTCTTTTATGAAATGGTAGCTAATGTGCCTCATTTTCAGTGAGTGAGGGGAAACTACTGCCAAAATGTAGGTGCCGGCAGCAGCACCACAAGCAGTCATGGCCTACTAAGACAGAAGAACAGGAATGCAGAAGCTTGTAGCGAGGATCCTCCTCATATTTCAAACATCATGGCTGGTGCATAAACAAAATTATTCTGCCACACGAGAGGCAAAGAGCGCTGACTGGGGCGTTATTACAGCAAACGTGCATCAGAACGACACCGTGGGTGCGCTCTGGCTCCAGGGAACAGTAAAAAGCAGGCATGAATGAGAAACCTTTATGTAACAGCTGGACGAGATGTTTAAAACTGAAGAAGGGCTTAAGCAGGTTTTATTCTGATTTAGCTTTGTAGCAGCTTTTTTTTTCCCCGCCAGCCCAGGCTCAGAGCTGTACAGGTTCATCCCACAGAGGGAGGTTAGCAGAACCTTATTATCGGCAATGCAAGCAATGTAAAATGCCTATTGTTTCCAAGGCTCCAAGCTTTAATAGCAGAAGCAACCTTAATGCAGAGTTGTTATTTATGTTAACAGCTTTTCACAATTTATGCTCGATAAAACTAGAAGCTGTTTAGGTGGATGCTTTTCTTCTGAATTAAACTATGTTTTAAAAGGCAATACAGAATAAGTTGTCAGCCAGAGATCTAATGGTAAAAATGTAAGTGTTAGAAAGCACATGCGTTCTACAAAGATACGTGTATCTGCGAATGCAGTCAGATTGTTTCTCAAGGTTTCTTCTTTCTTTGATAATCATGGAATTTCAAATTTAGCTGTAAGCCAGACTATTTTCCTACCCCTGAACTGTCAAGGAAATATTTGTGAGGTGCAAAAAACCATTTATATGCAAATAACCTCTCTCATTGACAATGGTAGTATTTCCATACCTACTTAGTCCAAAATATCTGGAATCTTACTAGTCACTGTCATTCCATTTTTAGTCAGCTTTGATCTGTCAATGTCTCTATTTTAGAAAACTTTCCATGTTGCATTTTTAAAAGTTTATTTTAATATTTATTTATTAATATGCATACATACATTTAAAAAAAGCTTCATTATTTGACTAAGGAAAATGCAGAATTGGTCTTAGAATTATTTTTCTGGCCCCTTTAGGAAAATATACCATCTGTATTTATAATCCATACGGAATCTTCTCCTAAAATGTAAAATATTCAAAGTAGGTACGAGTCTTCCTACGAACAAAAATTAAACAGTTTGTCATCATACAGTGCTCACTGGAAGAAAGCCGTACGTATTTTTGCATTTGCACTGGAAGATAATTATTTTGCTTGTGAATCCTTGAATCTGAAAAACAACCTAGAGTATGTCTTGCAGCATTTATCTGACTAAAACTAATCCCGAGAAGACTTTCTGAAAAATAGTCATATTCACAAGCACTACCAGTCCATTCACATGAATATGAACTCTCAAGTTAAAAAGAGAAAAAAGTTTGTTTTAAATGGGTACTACTATTGTCTTTTCCCCAAAAGACAACATAAATGCCATTTGTATCTATTTAACGTTGTCTTCAATAGAAAAATGTCTGGTACACCTGATCAGGAAAACAATTTGCAGGAAAAAACCCCATTGCAGTCTGTTACTGTCACGTGCCTTTGCAGCAGACATACTTGATACTTGGAAATCAAAAGAATCAAATGGATTCCAATACAGAAACACATTTAAAAAGCTGTGGAGAAGATGCACCAGCACTGCAATTTCTTAATACAAAAAAAGTTCTCTCCTGTTGAGAGCCCAGTGGCTAAGAATATGTGAAAAGGCTGCTCAGTTAACGAAAATAGCACAGCGGTGACAGGCCACCAGCACACCTTAGGTGCAGACCAGAGATTTCTGGAAAACACAAAAGCTGATAAAGTCACACTAAATACTAATAGAATATTTGCTACTGGTGTCTACTCCATTTCAAAAACATTTGTCTACCAGAAGAAACATGCATCAAGTTTTTATCTCTTGTAGATGCTGTTGGACCTGCAAGAGAACAGACAGAAATATAAATAACTAATACTGTAGCCACACACACGCACATACACACACACTCCTCTTGTCTGAAAGGCTACATACCATCTTAATGTCTGGCCTTCTGTTCTTTTTCTCATTCAGACACTGACCAGCAATTGAATACATTTTATGAACTGAAGGTGCATCCCAGTCACTCATCTTTTCATCAATGTAATCCTCAATAGTTGCTTCCTCATCCTCAATTTCATCTTTGATACTTAACTGCAAGAGTTTAACCAATGAGTAGATAACACTGTCAGGATCTGAATGTTATGTATGCCACACTAACACTAAACACACTAAAACTTGCTTTTGAGCGTTCGTTTCCTTTCTCAACCACTTTCTAGACAAAAAATTACGA